TAGATGTTTTTACCATCCTTGTAGGAGGCTTCTCTCATGTCCCTGCATGGGGAGCTGGAGCTGACAGAGAAAGCTCAACCTGCTCTCCCTGGATTCGAATCTCTGACCTGTTGGTCATCACCTCTGCTGGCACAATGATTTAACCCATTGCACCACTGGGGACTAAGCAGGACTGATTTTGCTTTTGCTTCCACAGTTTGGTGAAATTTACTGCCTTTAGGACATTTGCTAGTAATATTTACATTAAATAATAATATTTAAATAATTACATTAAAACTAAATAATATTTACGTTAAAGCTTTCCCAATCTGGTGCTCTCTAGATTGTTTGATTTCAACTCCCATTGGTGTTTCCCCATAATTGTAATTTAGATGTTTGGAGGACATCAATTTTGGGAGGTTTACCATGTGGTTGGGAGGGTATAAATAGATGAGTTCTACTTTTACGTGAAAGATAGCATCTTCCTCAGGTGGTAGGATTCATCTCTTGGGCAGCAAAATCTGGTATTCTAAAAAGCAAACAGCCATTCCCCATGAGCCAGATCAAAGTGTGGGAGGAAGGGCTTTCCTATTGAGGATGGGCTTAGAGGTATGCTAAGCAGAACATTGGCAAGACTTCCCACTAAATTGAACGGACAAAAAAAGCCGTATTTAATTTCCATTTAATAAGACAACTTTTGTGCATCAATGAAATTATTAAATCTATGTCTGCAGGGCTTTGTAGGCTGAGCTCCATCTCTCCGGAGCTGTGAATCCATTCCAAAGATGGTTTTAATCATCGCTTTGTATTTGATGTCCAGTTTCTGCTTTTATTGAATCTAAATGAAAGGCATGCCTGGGAGCTGGAGCATCAGCAAGGGTCATTAACTCCCAAGCCTGCCTTTGTTTGTAATGGAAACACAACATGCTCTACTGCTATTTTGATAATACCTTCATGCTTTTTTATGCACCAGGCCTGGTTTTTATGTCATGGTGAGTTGGATTGGGAGGGAAATCTGAATTCTAAAATTGTTGGGTACTCTATAAAGTAAAGCATAAATCAAAGTGCTTTATGTGCTGCTATGTGCAGGAGCAAGTGCATATCTGCCCTGACTACATTTTAGCTTTTGTTTGATAGGTGCACAAGTGACCATTAAAAAGCAACAGTCTTTTATAAACCTAGTCTGAACATAATGTATAATAGATTTAGCATGTACAGTATAATGGATTTGGACTTGAGTGGATGTGTGTTGGGGTAGGGAAAAGAGAACTGCCGTTTGCTCTCTTTCAAAATTACCTATTAATATTCAATACAAATTTACTAACAAATTTAATTAAAATTGTAGCTATATTATGTAATTGTTAAAATTAGATAAATGGTTTAAAATAAATGTAATAAATATAAAATATTAGAGATAAATGTAATAGTTATTGAATTCTACTTAAATATAAATATAATAATAGTAATGAAGAAGAAGAAGAAGAACTACTACTACTACTACTACTACTACTACTTTATTTTTGCATCCAGCCACTATCTCCCTGAAGGGACTAGGCGAGGCTTACATGGGGACTAAGCCCATTCAAACAGAGTTAACGTATACACAATAAAATACATATACAACATCATAAAACATAATTAAAAACATAATTCATCATACAACAACCAGTAGCTGTGCATCATGCACACTCCTGAATTAAGGGATGAGGGAAGGCTTGTGCAATACAACTGCCTGAACAAGGGCTGATGGTAAAGTCTGAGAGGTAGATAATAAATTAAGGCTAAAAGGGCCAAGTCAGATTAAAACAGCACAGCTCCAGGACAGAGACAATAGTAATGTGCAAGAGTCAAGACTGAAGTTATGGCTAGAGGGCTAGAAATTATGGCTAAAAAGGCCAATTAATTGCGTGAACCGATTAATGAAAAGCACATTGGAACAATCATGTTTTTAGGTCTTTACAGAAAGTGGACAGGGTGGGTGCTATTCTAATCTCCCCAGGGAGAGAGTTCCAGATCCGGGGGGCCACCACTAAAGAAGTCCCCTCCCTCATCCCGACCTACACTTGAGATGAAGGTGGGAGTGAGAGAAGGGCCTCCCCAGCAAATCTTTGAGCTTGCGCAGGTTCTTAGGGAAAGATGTGATCATGAAGATAGGCTGGACCCAAACCATTTAGTGTGAACTGAAAAAAGATACTAGAAGAGTGTGAGATAATACTAGAAGAAGATATGGTAGTGGGCTTAATGCTTGGTGACAACATCACTCTTCCCACTACTATAGTAGGTACATGGATTTTTTTGATATTTTATATAGTCCTTGTAATTGAAATGAAGAAATAGATGTATTTTCTGATAAGGATATTAAGAAAACTTTGTACATTTTTTCCCTTTTACCCCATTCCTCCTTTTTGGTCACATATTTAATATCTGTCATGGTTTAATCTACTAACAATAACTCCACCTCCTCCCTCCCCCCCCCCCTTTTCTGTTTTCCCTTTTCTTCTTTCTTTGTCGTAATACTTGACAAAAAAAAATAGGTAAATAAACATTACCTATTAGGGTAGAAGCACAAAATACATCAGAAGATGATATACACTCAGCCTTTATACAAACAGAAGCAAATGCTGTAAGTTCAGGAACTGGCAGGGTAGCATTGTCAGTGTGTTCACCTTTCATTTCAAGGAATAGCTGATCAAGCATTGCCAAAATTGCAGACCATGATGTCACTTGGGAATGTAGGTATGTATGTATGACAGGGAGTTGCGAACCGTACTGGTGAAACCATCAGAGGGAATGATCAAAATTACTGCTGTAATCTTTTTTTGTGCATTGTTTCAGCAGAAATTTATTATTTTATAGCAATATCCTGGTAGTTAGATATAACCACAAAAACATTTTTTCTAAGCCTAGCGTTAGCTAACACATGCCGAATTAGTATCTACAAGGGGAGCCCCTGGTGGCGCAGTGCGTTAAAACCTTGTGCCAGCAGGACTGGTCAACTGAAAGGCCAGCGGTTCGAATCCAGGGAATGGGGTAAGCTCCCATCTGGAGCTCTAGCAGGGACATGCAAGAAGCCTCCCATAAGGATGGAAAAACATCAATCATCCGGACCTCCCCTGGGCAACGTCTTTGCAGATGGCCAATTCTCTCACACCAGAAGCCACTTGCAGTTTCTCAAGTTGCTTCTGACACAAGAAAAAAGTATCTACCAGGTTAAGAGTATGCTAATTTACTTTTTGAATTTTCTAATGTACATATGCTTTGGTCATTAATATCCATTTACAATGATACTTCAAATCATCTGGTTTCATCTGCATATGCTACATGCATGTGCTGTGGTTTTAATTGCTGCTTGGTAATTTAGTCAAATTTTCTGATATTTTAGCTTGAATATTTTGGTGTGGTCTGGTATGGGAGGAAGTCTTTGGGAGTGACACCATGAGTTATCGCACTGCGTGACGCCAGGGTTAGTGATGCCACTGATTACATGGCATCATCTTCTTGCTAACCACACAGTGAGGGTCACAGATACCTGTACAACCAACTCTCTGTACAACCAACTCTGAAGGGAGGCATGTGTTTTGGAACTGAATTAATTTCATTTTTCTTGCTACAAAATGTAGCACAACTAGTGCTAGGAAAATGCTAGTACTAGTATCCAACCCCCTGCCCCCAGAAAATGAAATATCCATGAAAAGCACCTGAATTACACATACAAAGTGTGTGTTCAATGTGATAACAGAAATCACTCAATAATCTCAACATTCGTAAGGCAAAGTCTTGACAGAATCGTCATAAGAGGCATAGCCCTTTCTGGTAGATTAGGCTTTGAACTTGAAGAGGATTTTAAGACACTGTAAGAAAAATCCTGCTAGCTCATTCCAGAATAGGTAAACGGTTTAGTGGTTTTATTATATTATATGGCATAACAATACAGGTTGAATATCCCGTTTTCAAAATGCTCGTGACCAGAAGTGTTTTGGATTTAGAATATTTTTTAAATATCTGCACTTGCATATTTGTACATAATAAAATATCTTGGAGATGAGACCCAAGTCTAAACACAAAATTCATTTATGTTTCATATACATATCATACATATATCATGAAGACAATTTTGTAAATTGTTTTTTAAATAATTTTGTGCATGAAATGAAGTTTGTGTACATCAGAAAAAAGCATAAATAAATAAAAGAATCCAGCATCCTGTCTCTCCTATGACAAACCAGAAGTTTCTGGGAAATCCAATGACATATTAAGTCAAAATGCTTGAAAGAGAGGATAGAAAACTTGTATCTTTTACTACTGTGAGTTACCCTTCATTTGTTGACAAGTAGAGTATAAGGCTATATTCCAATTGAATTTGTAACAGCAATATTGTCTATGTTTCTTTACCTTTGATCTTTTAACTTTTTGTCTATGATCTTTGAAAGGAGACTCAGACTTCCAGCATGAGTGTCAAATAACACACAAAGTTCTCAAGATCACTATAGAACATAACACATAAATTTCAGTGCTCTGATAGAAAGAATGAGAGCTTCAGTTACTATTGCAAACCTGCTGTCATCAGATTTACTGAAATTCTCACTTTGCAAATTCTAAAAGTATCTGATCTTGGTTTTGACCTGAATAATAATGATAATGATAATAATACCTTTATTTGTATACTGCTCTATCTCCCCGGGTGGACTCGGGTGGTTTGCAAATTACCGATATAAGAACATACAAAAAACAGTTTAAAAAGTATAAACATGGTACTATATAACAAACGTACATATTTTTAAAAATCAGGCAAAAACTTGAAAAATAAGATAAATAAGACATGAGAGAATAGTGATATCTGAATATTCTCTACACCCTGAGGCATAATGCACAAGCTTTACTCTTTCTGACCATATAGGTGAATATTCCTCATTTACGATTTCGGTTACGTCTTTGTTCTGGGTTCTTTGATTTGCAAGAGAATCTGCCATTCTCACAACACTTATGACCCTGCAATCTTTCTCTGTGCTCTATCCCTACAGCTCGCTGGAGATGACATGTTATGACAGCGATGAAGCCAATCCCCGCAGCGTATCCAGCCTCTCAAACCGTTCTTCTCCCCTCTCCTGGCGCTATGGTCAGTCCAGTCCACGCTTGCAGGCTGGGGACGCTCCTTCAGTGGGTGGGGGCTGCCGCTCAGAAGGCACCCCCAGCTGGTACATGCATGGGGAGCGAGCACATTACTCCCACACCATGCCCATGCGCAGCCCCAGCAAGCTCAGCCACATTTCTCGCTTGGAGCTTGTGGAGTCACTTGATGCGGATGACGTCGATCTCAAGTCTGGGTACATGAGTGATAGTGACCTAATGGGCAAAACAATGACTGAGGATGATGATATCACCACAGGGTGAGTACCACAACAGAGCGTCGAACACATGACTCAAAAGTCAACTGATATAAACTAGAAGTGGTTTTTGCACCAGTCTCTGCTGAAATATCTCTGTTAAACATAAGATTGTATTTGCACAACCCATTTTACTTTTTCCTTAACAAAACAACCCATGGGCACCTGAAAGTTCTTGGGTTTATTTCCAGCTTTCCACATATTAATACACATGGCTTGGGAATTTCCTGATTTTGTCTGGCTCCTAGTATGATAAATGATCATTTGCTCGTAGAAGCCAATTCGCTATCATGCATACAAAAATAATGTTTCTACAAGCAGATAACAAGTTTTGACTGTGACAGGATAATATATACTGCTGAGTGGTTGGAGACAAGAGTGCCTTATTTGAGGTTTGGGTGCATAGGCGTGCACATGATGCTTTTGTAAAACAAATACATACTCCTTTGTGTCAAGTTGTTTCTACAAAGCAGATATTTCTCACTGGTATGAGCAGGCCCGTAGCCAGGATTTCATTTCGGGGGGGGGGGGGGGGGTGAGTTTTCGGGGGGGGGGGGCTGAGTCTGAGTGAAAGAGGGTCTACCCTAGCAAAACTTTTGTATTGTTACCCCAATACCCCCATGCATATGGGATATATTGAGTAGGGTGATCAGATCATGATATGAATAAACATAACAGTTTAAATAATGCAACAGTAAGGGCTTTTCGCGAACCACCATGAGAATTTCGGGGGGGGCTGAAGCCCCCCAAGCCCCCCCCCCTGGCTACCTCACTGGTATGAGGCATGTGAATTCTGTTTTGTGGTGCAATAAAGTAGGAAGAGTGTTTGGCTTAAATTGAATTTTTTATTCCATGTTAGCCCCAGTTTATATTGACCTTATCCTAAGATTTTATTGGCAAGATTCATTCAGGGGAGGTTTGCATGAGGCAGGAATGTGTTTTCCCCAACATCATCCAGTGCAGGCATGTAGCCGGGGGGGGGGGGGGGGTGGGGCTTCAGCCCCCCCCCCCGAAATTCTCATGGTGGTTCGCGAAAAGGCCTTACTGGTACATTATTTAAACTGTTATGTTTATTTATATCATGATCTGATCACCATGCTCAATATATCCCATAAGCATGGGGGTATTGGGGTAACGATACAAAAGGGTAGACCCTCTTTCACTCAGACTCAGCCCCCTCTCCCTCGAATCAAAATCCTGGCTAAGGGCCTGATCCCGTGGGGTTTCATGGCTAAATGGGGATTTGAATCCTGATCTGCCAGAATCCTGGTCCAACACCCAAACCACTACCCCACACTGGCTTTCTTAAACTGGATACACATATTCAATGCAAAAACGCTGTGGCTATAATTACAGTCTTTGCTTATTGTATAGAATCTGTGGTAAAGTGGGAAAGGGATTTTGGTTTACTGGTGAGAAAATAACAGATGATGTGTAATGGGTTGCTAGAGTAAATCTAGAGGTATCTTAGATGTACTGTGTACAGTATTTTGTAGATCTCAGTGATGACTGTGCTGTACTTCTGCATGTTTTGACTCAATTTACAATGAAATTGTTTGATGGGCTGGTCAGTAGATCAACAGTAAATATTTACTATTTTGGATACAACTCTTAAAAGTATGCATTGGGAACTTTACAGTTTTATTTGTCATCACATCTATCTAATGAAGCAGCTTTGGTCCACTCAAATGGATGCCAAATGAAACCTAATAGTTCAACTGCAACTTCCAGCATTCCTCAACACTGCCTACATAGGGTAAGAATCCTGGAAGCTGCAATCCATCATTATCTGGAGAGCTATAAATTTCCCTCCCATTTAAAAGTTTCAAATACTTTTTTGCTACTTTATGACCAAAACTTAAAGTTGCTTGGCTTTCTGCTTACTTGCTTCATGTTCTTTCAAAGTGCACACCATATTAAGTGACAGCAACATGCAGTTTTCAGTGATATATTTTTAGTGATGCAAAATTATCTTACAGCAACACTGTGGGTTTGTTAACTTGCCTGTAGTGGTTAATGTGTTGTATTGGGACTTGGAAAACCCAGATTCTAGTCCACTGCTAGCCATAAAAGTCCCTGGGTGACTTTAGGTGCATCCACAGTGTAGAATTGGTGCAGTTTGACAGTACTTTAGCTGCTATGCAATTCTGAAATTTGTCATTTGTTGAGGCACCAGCACTCTTAGACAAAAAAGGCTAAAATCTTTGTAAAAATACTTTTTGTACTATATTATTATTGTTCCTCTCTCCCAAGAAGAAAAAGACTACAATTCCATATCATTGAGCCATGGCAGTTAAAGTGGTGTCAAATTGCATTAATTCTACAGTGTAGAGTTTATTTATTTATTTATTTATTACATTTATATACTGCTTTTCTCACCCCTAGGGGGACTCTAAGCGGTTCACATCATAATCAATGGCAAAATTCAGTGCCTTACACATAAAAAACATCACGTACCAAACCAACCGCATATAACAATAGATTTAAACCCTTAAAATGATAAACAACAATAATAAACACAACATTAAACATTTAAGCATTGCATCAATCCTGAGGATATCTTTAACTACTTCCATGTTTCCATATTCCTGTCGTTCTTAAATAACCAGGACTTAAATTGTTTCCTAAATACTAGGAGGGAGGGGATAATTAGTGAGGAGGGAGTTCTGCAGCCAAAGGGCCACCACCAAGAAGGCCCTGTCTCTCATCCCTACCAATTGCACCTGCGAAGGTGGCGGGACCGAGAGCAGGACCTCCCCAGTAGATCTTAATGTTCTAGCTGGCTCATAAAGGGAGATGCATTCAGACAGGTAACCTGCACCAGATCTATTTAAGGCTTTATAAACTAAAGACAGCACTTTGAATTCTGATCCCCTAGATGCACCCTTCATCTCAGTCATTGGGTAACTTTATCTCAGTCACTGTATGAGCATTATGTACTTGCGGGATGGTGGTGGGGAGGAGAAGAAAAAGAAAAGGAAAGCTGTGAAGATTGTCCCAAACTGGTAATTAACTGATTGTAATCCAGATATCCGCCAAATTTCTGAGATAAGATGAGGGTATGGCCGTTGTGGTGCCATATATTCTTTTAGAAATCCATTTGCCCATTCTCCAGAATGGGTTATAGAACTGGTGAAAGAATAGGGAGCGATGTCTACTGGTTACATCCTCTTGTGCTATCTTTATAGCTCTTAGAAATGCAAGTAGAATCTCCCAAATCATTTCCTTGTGCTGCTTCTTGTAAGAAAATCATATACTCCATTTTTCCTCAGCCCCAGTTCTTGGTATGTATGTACAAAGGTTTAATTGTCGCTTTCCTGTGCAGTTTGCTACATGTTAATAGGACTCTGGGTAGATTAGAAAAGCAGCAAAAAAGAATTAAACAGAATTATTTGCCAGCAGTGGAAAGCTAAGCTCTTTAATAGAGTTCTCATACAACATAGCTTATCAGTATGCTGCTATTCCCATTTTTTTTATAGTGAGAAAGGGCCTGAAGGATCTGACTTGAGTTTATTGACCTCTCATGTTTCCCAGTCAGTTGAAATCATATTTAGCTTTGCATAAAGATCTCACCAAGGATGTTTTAATTTATATGTGTTTTTATGCAATCTATAACTCAGGTAATACTGTGCCAAACTGTAGTCTGTAATAAGCAGACACAAAAGAGGTTGCACACAGTACTTACTGAAGCATTTCCCACCCACCCTCACCCCCCAGAGTAATAAAAGAAGTAGAGTGAAGTATAGTCAGAAGAGGTCACCTGGTCCCTCAGGAAAAAAAAATTAGTTGGATATTTAATCAATCCAGTATAGATCTGAAAAGAATAGTTCCTGAGACCCTCAGGAGTCTACTGAGTTCTTACCATCTAGCTTAGTTGTAGTGTAGAACTATAGTTCTGTTTGCTTCTATACCAGGCATGGGCAAACTTGGGCCCTCCAGGTGTTTTGGACTTCAACTCCCACAATTCCTAACAGCCGCTAGGCTGTTAGGAATTGTGAGAGTTGAAGTCCAAAACACCTGGAGGGCTGAAGTTTGCTCATGCCTGTCCTATATCATGCATCCTGCTATGGATCATGGATAGGAAGGTGCTATATGTTTGTAAGCTTTCTATGTTCCTGAATAAACACAATGCTGGGCTAGATCAATCTTTGGTCTGATCCAACACAGTTCTTAAGATATCCTTGATTTCTCAATTTCTACAAGGAAATAACTGATTCTACTAATTTTGGGGGATTTGTTAACATCTGTGAAGAATCAATTTAGTTGATACACAGTTAAATCATTGTTAATTTCAATATTGTTAGGGTGTTTGGAAATGTAGGCCTTTGGCCTTGTTTTCTTTTGGCTGCTCACCCCCTGCTGCTCCAGAGAGATGGAAACTCACAGAGTGAAATATTGTGTCATGAGTTTTCCATTTATCATTGGGAGGTTTTTAAAAGTCCCAGAGCTTCAAGGGAAGGGGTGTAGACCTGGTCCTAAAAATAATCACATGTCATGGAAAGCTACACTAGGGAGCCCTTGTTAATTCCACAGTTCTGGTCTGCAGATGTGTAATTGTAATTGACCCCTAGTCCAACTGTGCGGCCTCTTTCACAGTGTGATTATTGCAGTATTAAATTCATGACCTTTGCTGCTATTTGTATATATTTCTTTCTATATTTTTAACTTTTTAATTGTGAATGAATAACAAACAAAAAGCAAAAAACAAACACAAATAGTACAGTAACTACCAGAAACTTTACAGTTACAATATCTTGTCAAACCATTGTCTTCCTCACACCCATGAATCCACCACTGATGACTTCTGATACTACTCAATGTGACTTGAATACAGTGATTCTCAACCTGTGGGTGCCCAGATGTTTTAGCCTTCAACTCCCAGAAATCCTAACAGCTGATAAACTGGCTGGGATTTCTGGGAGTTGTAGGCCAAAACACCTGGGGATCCACAGGTTGAGAGCCACTTCTCTAATACCTGTTAAACCTTACCCTTACGGTAAAGG